ATGTTGATGATTTCTCAGTTCAGTCAAAAATATGTTTTGATACTTGGTTTTGTTAAAAGTCTATTCTTCACTATATCTGGGGCTATACATGCTTTTGTCTTTATTGTTTCTTTGCATATGTGAATAAATAATAAATTATCATTAATAAACTAGCAGGAGTTGACAAAAGAGTAAGTGCAAATGATGGATTTCTATGTAACCCATAGAGTATATTGTGGATCCATTGAAATAAATGTCAGAAGTCTGAATCTTTAAGTGAAAATAGTTTTATAAAAATATTTCATTATCTTAACTAGACATTAAACTAACATTGACTTAAGCCTTCCATCACTGAGCTGAATTGAAATTAATGTGAGTGAGAATAGAAAAATCTACTATTGAGGAAAAAGATTCCTTCAGTTGAAATTATTGATGTGGTCTCATGCATTTTATGGTTTATGCTTATGTAACACATTACCAGTAGAAATAGAGATGATGGAATGGCCTCCAAAGTTATTAGGGTGCTGTTTGTTTTATTGCTCTGAGTAGATTGCTTGATTTCAGAATAACCCAAGTTAATGGAGCTGCTAGTGTAAGTACAGTGAGCATGATTTAGTCCTTGACACATACATATTTATGTATTATGTTGTGGGACACTTCTTCAAGCCATGATTATTCTATTAAGCCCTTGTATTCACTTGAATTTTTCACATGCTGATTCTTATTTACAAAATGCTATCCAGGCCTTGCAAGACCTAATGAATTTTTAATTGTGAGCCAATGATAAAGGTTTCTGCAAACACTCTGAAGTCATCCATCAGTAAATAAGTTTTATAAAACAATTTTCTTTTGCTTACTTGAATCTTACCACCCTATTTCCATCTTATTATTTGACTTCATTAAAATATAAGACATAAGTTACTCAGCTTTTGAATGCCCTCTGTATTATCAAAATTCTGACTGAATGCTCATTTACATACAGTCGAATCTCAAGCTGATTGCCATCTCTTAATGTGTCTTGAAAAACCTTAACCCCTATGAATTTTACTGTTTTGACTCATTTATCTTCATATTATTTCCTTGAAAAATGCATATGTTATGTGAACAAAAAATGTGCTTCTTTCTTTACATTGGATTATCACTATAAATTAAACAATCTTCCATACTGGATTCACCATTCTATTAAATTTTTTTTCCCCTCTATCGACAACACCTTTATATGAAAAAATATTTTTGGTGGGCAGTTGTGTTAGAGAAACTACACCTACACTTTTTTATATTAATGTTCTTCTTTTGCTATTACTCAAGTAAGATGTATTTGTATTGCATTTTATACCTCAGATGCTGAGCAGCGTGTGTGAGCATCAAAAGATTCTTCTTTTCTTTTGAAAGATCTTAAACCTGCCAAATTTAGACTTTAAGATCAGCATGTGCATTCATGGTTAGAATTATAAAAGCAGTTTATGAGAGATGAGACTTTGGCAAAATGTAAATTAAAGAAAAATAAGTGATTTTTTTAGTCATGTTACATAGTGCAGTGAAAAGTGATAGTGTTAAGATGCAAGGAAGATTCACCAGTGGAAAATTATTACTTTTCCATAAAATTAATTGATTTTTAAATTTTTCTATAGAATCCCTGCTCCAATGTCTGTTATATTTCTTAAGCCTTTTTCAAATAGACAAGTGTGAGAATACAATTTTACTAGGTTAATCGGTTTTCCCAAATGAAAATATTAGCCTGTGAGTTCTTGGCGTTGACTGAAAACATAATGATTTTGTTCTTTTAAGATTTTCAGAAAATTTCACAACTAAAACAGAGATTGGATTAGAAACTGTTTAGTGTTTGAGAAAAAACTTAGTACCGCCCATTATTTAATGAAGGCTATAATTCACAGTTGCTCAAGAGTAAAGAAATGTAGTCAGTTATTTCTTTTTTTGTGTGTGAATTATTTTGTTTCTGATTTGTTGGAATGATGGTGCAGAATCCTCTTTGCTGCTCAAAGTACATGATGCTCATACTTGTAATATTGACTAACATAGAATAGATAAAGGTGCCTGTAAAACACATCAGCAGTTTGGCTTTCCTGAATTCTTATAAAAATTGTGTGAAATAAATGATCCATTGGTATTTTGGGGCTAAGTTGTTGAGTAACATGATGGGGTATAGAAACTTTTGGTTCAAGGCTTTTTTTGTAGCCGATATTCCCTTTCAGGGCTGTCTGATGCCTAAGTGCAGCAAGCAGGTGCAATTCCATGGTATAATATATAATGAGGATATGGAATGAAAAGATCCTGCATTGGAATGCATTTGGGAAAACAGCTAAGAACGTTCAGCAGAGGGCCTCAATGCCTGAAGGGACATTCCTGTGGGTACCCAGCCAGAAGGATGGCTGTACTCTAAGGCTTTGTCAAGATTTCAAGGGAGACTCCTCATATGTTCTCAGCTGGGTAGAATCTTTGACAGAAAACAAGGGGATAATATGGATTTATACATAAACATATGTATTTGTTTATGCAAGACAGAGGAATACTTTCAGATATTAATTATAACTGTTTATTTAAACATTATCCTTCTTAGACTAACTGCAAGGTCTTCCAAATTTCAGCCTGAACCCAAGATTCAGTTGGGTTTCAAGCTTTAGAGGTTCACTGAGGTCTATCTCCTCTTTGTGGGAAGCTGTTATATCCTTGGTACTTTGAAAATCTTGCCATCTATCACAAGACAGATTCAAAATGTTTTTTTTTTTCTTCTACGTTCATGAGTCCATGCAGAAAAAGGCTTTTTAATGTGCTATTCAAAATAAATTGAAAAGAAGACCTCTCCAATTTACAATGCTGTCTGAATCTTCTTTTGAAGATACCAGCCCTTGAAAAATAAAATTCTCTCTTCACAAAATTGGTAACTCACAAAACCCAACCAACCAATGAAAATCCTAAATGACTTAAAAATCCTTTGTGAGCAAAGGGACTTGCCCGTAGAATAGTATTGATTTCATCCCCTTTGTTTCTCACTGGAGATTACCTTTTATTAGCATGTGCTAATAGATTTTTTGGTGGAAATCCACTGAATTAAGTGGGTTTTTGACCTTTGAATTAGTGTTGGAAATATCCACTGTGTACCTAGAAATTTCACTATGGAAATGGCCATAGTTCTTGTTTAGTTAAGTTAACAAGCAGAAACAGGGTTAATTTATAAAACCTCTTAACTATTCTCTTTCTCCTGAGAAAATGTCTTAGACCATGCCCTTGTGAGCATACAATAGTGAGAGCTACAGTACTACATTGAGAAAACCTTCTATTACTTTATATAACATTTAAAGCCAGTTTTTATTGATATAAAGGTATAGCTGAAATTCAGTTAAGGTTGAAATATACTGTCCTTTGAAATGTGTCTTCAGCATGTTTGACTAGCTGTAACATTTAATTTTTTTTTTAAATATGAAAGGATGGTATTTTTCAAGTACCTGAAGTATAGGGAAAAAAATTTAAATGGTCACCTTTTCAGAAAGCTTTCTTCAGCCTTTTCATTTAGCCTTTTAGAAAGGGCAGGGTTATGCAAACTCAAGATACAAAGAACAGTAGAAATGATCTTCCAGAAGGTAAGGAGAGGGATATACTCAGTTCCACACTCTTTACTTAATGAGGCGATTATTTGTTTTTCCCTAAATAGGAAACTATATTCCTGAGAAAATGCTACGTTTTAATGTATTAGGTAAAAATTTGACTGACACTCTTTAAAATTTGAGGAACAGTAACTATAAATTACACATTTTTGCCCTGGACAGATTTACTACTAGATTACTACAAAATTTGATGCTTATATTGGAGCTTTAAAAATATTTATATAAGTTTTTTGGGTAAGGGGTCTGAAATGAAGGGGAACAAAAAAAAGCTCTGAAGAGAACAGTTGATTGCATAATGGTCTGAGTAAGTATCTCAGTATTATGCAAATAAGGTTTGCTGCAGGTAACTACAGAATAATTATTCTAGTGCTAAAATTGATGATGACAACTGTATTTTTCATGAATCTGACTGCAAACCTTGGCTTTTGGGGCTGACCTTGTGTAAGTGGTGACTAGTGACACAAAAAACATTTACCATTAGGTAAATGTTCTGCTATGGAAGAACTCTAAAGCAAAAAAATTGTGCCAACGCACATCCATTTCAGGGATTCTGTAAATTAATAGACTGCTTGAGTAATTTAACAACATGGATAAATGTCCATCTGTGGAGAGTTCTTGAAAAATGATGGCAACACAAATAAAATCTAAAGAACAAGAAGTGTAGCACAAATAACTTGAGATAAGATCCAGAGTGAATCTCAAAGAAGTAGAACTATTTTATTGCAGGAAAGTCTGGGATGCAGATTCTAATAGCAAGAGAAATGAAGCTACAGTAGTAGACACATGAAGATTTAGCAGGTGGAAACCATAATATGCCAAGGGATATTTTTTTTGTTTCCAGGACACCCACACTCCTAGTAACTGATATTAATGTTACATTTCTGTATGCAGAAAAATTATCTTCGAAAGGATTTCACTGAAAATTTATGTTCCCTTTCTGCTGTCTTTTCTGATATTACTTACATGATCTATTTTGAAAATAAATAGTCTGTGTGACAGAATCTGTATTTTTCAATGTACTAGTAATATGAACCAATGTCACAATGAAAGTAATGGTTTGATGTTTCCATGTTATTAAACTTCAATTTAGTTCTTCAAAGTTATAAAATACTAAAATTCTCCACATATTTAAAGCCTGAACACTTAAAAAATACCTTAATGATGAGCAGCATTGGTGTATTAAATCTTTAATCAAAATGTGGAGAACTTGGAGTAATTAATTTTCTTGCATTTTAAATTGCTCATAACATTTTTATTATTAATATTTTGTGGTTTCAGAAATTGTATTTTATAATGTAGCAATATGAAGAGATTTCTTAACCTAGACTAAATGAATGTTTATGCTTGATAGTCCATACCATTTAGCAAAAGTCTAAAATCTCAGAACTTTTTCAGAACTTTTTTTTTATTTTTTGGATAATCTGAAATATTTTTGTAATATATTCTAGCTTGGATTTATATGGTTTAGTGAACACCCACTTTTCTCAACAGGTTTGCAGCTTTTTAAGGTTGCACTCCTGCCATGCAGTTCCCCTTGAGCTTCAATTTGTGACATTTGGAGAGAACTGCAGATACTCTTTAGAGATGGATTTCCAGATGCATCTTTTCCTTTGTTATTTCTCTAGGTATGTGTAACCAGTCCTGTAAAATGATGTGTTTCTTAATTTCAGTGGGAATTGACAGTGCAGTGCAGAGTGCAAGCAGACTCAGAATCACCACCTAAAACAGTGGATGGAAAAGAAAACATCAGATTAATCCAGAGTTCCTGTGATTTGTGAGTATGACTAAAAAATAGAAAAATACACAGCTTTACAGGTAAAATCAGGTTTTCCCCAGTTGCCTGAAATTTCAAGGCTCCTTTTATCCAAGTGTAGTGTTTCTATTTGCCTCACTATGTTGGTACAGATAAATTATGCTTTTCCTTATTTATAGCCGGACTCACTATTTTGCCAGTCTTCATTTAAAATGTCTCAAGTGCACTACGCCTTATAAAAAATAGCTTTGAATGCTTATTTTTATCTTAATCCATATTAAATTAAACAAAGGAAACATCTGGAAAATAGTAACAACAATAACTTAAAATACTAAAAGATTTACTTTAGTGACAATTGGATAGTCACAAGGACCTTCATGAATCTACTTAGCTTTCTCAGGGAGATTTACTTTCTTGTTTTCCTGTATGTGTTTCATTTAAAAGGTGCATGCTGTGTGCCAGAGAATGACCATATTTCTTCCAGTTAATTTTAAAATCCTGAGAAGGTTTTTGTTGTTTTATTTTCCAGATGCCTGAAAAACTTTCTGTTAGTCAGTCTAGGTCCAAGACTAGGTAAAGTCATGGGACTGAAAATGAGTTTTGATTATGTACTCAAAATAATGTCATGACATGGGGCTCGTGATTGTTTAGTATTTGTTATGGTATAAAAAAGGATCACCCTCATCTGTGAACTGATGAACAGGACAATTCAAGGAAGAAATGACATTGCTTGAGGCCAAAATGGTGAAATGTTCTTCAATAGAGTTATAACCACATGAGAGAATTTTGGAGAATGAATAAAGGTCATTTGGTCCATCAAGACATATTCTTTTTAGTAGACAGTTTCCCCAAGGATCGTATCTAATTGTTTCCTGAATGACACTGGTGCTTTTTGCCTCTAAAACTTTGCCTGCAGGCTATTCTAAGTATTTATTATTCTCTGCACAAAAAGATGCTTTCTGATATATATATGCTGAATTTATTTTTCAATTTCCAGTTAAGTTCTCTTGTCCTATAATCTGTGTTGGAATGAAAATAATAACCTGAATTAACATTATCTGTGGCAGATAAGAATTTATATGCTTCAAAAGAGACAGTTCTACCCTGTCCTTAAAATTAGATGCCCAGATTTATAATCTAAGTAACCAAACTGCATATCAAATGGTGGCAGGGCTCTCCCTTGGAAGATTTCACATCAGAATTACTAATTTCCCTGAATGCACTTTACAGATGTTGTTGGTGCTTCATCCCCCATTGACCAAAAACCTGTCCAATACAGAACATCTGATGACACTTGAGGTCTCTTTTAACATCAGCTAAAGGGAAGACAAATGCAAGATGTACTTTAAACTAATTTCAACAGGCAGAAAAATGAGAGGCAATAGCCGGGGACATGACAGTAAGAGCTCACTAACTTCTCCTTTGCTCTTTTTTCAAAATAACTCAGTCTTACTTTAGTTTTAGAAGATTTAAAAGATAAATCAGACTGTCTAACTTCTAACAGTATCAAACCTGGGTTACAGGCTTTAAAGGAAGGGTGCCTAATCTTCCTGAATCTTTACAGTTTTTGCCCAGTACTGGCCAGAGGAGGCAAGCATCTGTTTTTAAGCAATTCAGTCACAGTCCTAGTCATGTGGGGATTTTTATTGTGTCAGGCTCCAGAAAAGCAGCCAAGACAGTGTTTAGCTGGTGTAGCATAAGCTACTGTAGCAGCAATGGCATGATGGTCTCCATGCCACATTTATTTTTTGTCTGGAGACAGAAAAATCAAAGTTTCTTCCTCTCTTACCACTTCCCATCCAACCACCCTGCCCTAGTTCCATCCATAACTATTCTTCATTTGCAGACTCCTTACTGGGCTTCAGATGGCCCAAGTCTACAACTCCTCAGCAGAAACAACAAGAAAAATTAGTTTTTCCCCCTCTTCTGAGAAATTTCTTGAACCATCTTACTGAAAATAGACACCATATCATCTGCTGTGGCAGACCCTGCTGGAATTCTTCTTCCAGCAGCCTGGGTTTCAGATTAGGTGAAGGTCTGTCATATTAACACCTCCAAAGATGTAAGAGCCAGGTTTCATAGCTGATGAACTGCATGTATTTTAGGAAAGAAAAACTGACTGCCATCACTTAAGCACAGAGATATTGCTGTGTACAAATTATGTGAAAAACTTTATGGAAATGCAGCAAGTGCCTCCATGCTGGCTCTGAGCCATAGACACAGACCCTCTGTAGAAGGTCCATAAATCAAATCCTACAACTCATGGACAGGGTTGTGTAAAGGGGGCAAACAGGTGTCAAATTAGCAATAAAACATGTTTATTTAGAGACTTGAAAAAATACCAGGCTTTATGGAGGACTTTGACATTTCTGGGTTTAATTCTTTAGAACAGAATGAACATTATACACCCTTGCTTTCTGCTGGATAAACATCACTCAAAACATGGTCTTCAATTTGTAAAAAAACAAGCAAGAAAAAATGATGACCAGTTTCCCATACTGAAGGAGAATTCCTTCCCTGTCTATAAATGCTTGTATTAACTAGTTTTCCAACGTGCATTTGAGATAAGACAGCTTTAAGCTAATTCTGAATAACCATTTTATTGAAGTGATTTCAGACACACACAATCTCTACTGAGACTCTCTTATCCCCCATTGAATAACAAGAACAATCATGATAATTACTTCAAATCACAGTTACATGGGAAGAACAAAGACCCATGAATACATCCATGGCAGAATTTATGCTGTCTTCAGTACTTTAATCATCCATTTAGCCTAGAGTGTTCTGTAATATTGCAAGCACCCTTGTATATGTACTGGTCACAAAATATTCATCTAAGCAGTGTGAGTCTTGCATACCAGTGCTTATTTCTGATCATGAGAAGCTGGCCCTAATTCATTGCCAATAATGAGTGTGAACATGGGTTAGAGTTTGTGTCAGAACACATCTGTAGAAGAAACTAATTACAAATTATAATGGTATTGACTTTAATTTATGCTGCCATCATAGTAGGTCTATGCTTGATGGGAAGATCCCTTCTAGGTGAAAACTGAGGGGGATGATGGACAATCTTAACCAGTGCCTTGAGGCTAACACAGAATTTGAGTTGCACCACACAATCTTCTTTCCCCACCCATACTAAGATCTAGGGAGGCCCAGGGGCAAGGTAGTGTACAGATACCTTGCCAGACTTTCTCAGTGAAACCATTTTCACTAGGTGTGCAACACAACTGGTGTACAAAGAGAGAAAAATTGAATATTATAGAACATTGTTCCCTTGTTTAAAATTGGAAAATAATGCGAGATAACAAGAATAATTATTTTATTCCAGGTAGTAAAACTCAGTGAAATTAAATGTGCACAAAGTTCTTTATTGCTGCAAGAAAGAAAGAAAAAAAAATAATAGAAATTAATTATGAAAAATACAGAATGGATAAAACTATGTAGTGCATTCCAGCAGAGATTAAATACTCAATGTGATTTTTAAACTTACTTTGTTTTATTAGGCTTCAGGTTACCAGAGACTCTTTTATTAAAAAAACCTCAATGAAACTGATTTTGTTTAAGCTCTAAATTAGTATCGTAGCATGAGACACATGGTTTTAGCTTATAACTATGTTTTCAAGATATCTCTGTATTTGCCTACGAGAGGGTAACTCAATTTCAGTGCATCAGTATTTTACGTATATCTAGAGGCCATATTTTAACTGAATATGCATTCTGTTTAGCCATATTAACAAGGTTTGCTTTCACAGGTATTAAAACAGGGTCAGTTATGCTAATAAACCCAGAGATTATTCCCCTGTGAACAGCAAAACACTGCCAGAAGCAAAGAAATTGATAAGATTTAGCCAGAAATTGAATATGACATGTTTTTTGCATCCTGAAGTGATGTTTTGACCTTACTTGTTCTTCTTCAAGTCTAAATATTTAGTCTTTTTATTTACTTACATGCAATTCCTTATTTTCTTAGATTTGACTTTGTTTTGAGCTAAAGTTAGAAAGGAGATGCTATTTCAAAATAAGATTCTTTTTAGTTTATTCAAGAGAATTTTGATTTTACTGTTTTTAATGTCTGCTTTGTTTTATAAAATACATTTATGCTCACACATTACAAGGATTTGGAACAAGTTACTTCACTTAACCATAATGTTTAACTTTGTATCCTATTACCTTCAGGTGGAGTAGAACAACTAGTGCAGATTTCAGTCTGCCTAAAATAATTTTCTCTGCTGGATGAAGCAGATTATTACAAGGTAATTTAAAATATATATAGAAAGTGGGGAAAAGTTGTTTACAGCAAATGCATTTGTTAACCCTCTGATAATTGCCTACAGTGTTTTGAAGATGTAAACACAAATATGCCATATGAATTTATGTATGAATTTCATCTAAGAATATCTCAGACTTGTCCTAATAACTAGAAATACATTTTCTAAAGCAAATTGTTATCTGGGAATAAATTACATGTTGGCTTCATCCTTCCTCCCACAGTCGCTTGCATATCTCCAGTCGCTCGCTCTTTCTGCTTTCCCCCCTTTTTTTTTTTTTTTTTTTTTTTTTTTTTTTTTTTTTTTTAGCAAACACATTTAACAGCTGTGGAAACAAACAGGGCATACTTGGCAAAAGTAGGGGCCAGATGCCAAACTCTGCAATGCTTGTTCTCACAGCATCAGGCGGGGCTGCTGCTAACTCCTTGGTGTCACCTCTGCTGGCTCCTTTTCCAGTTTTGCTGCTGGCAGGCAGCAGTAGGTGCATCTGGAGATGTTGTCAAGGTCCTGCAGCTGTGGGGCCGTCTTGGCTCCTGTGTCCGTATTTCTCTTTTATATTTAAATGTTATTTTTGCATGAAATAACATTAATTGCTCAAACATAACTAGTATTTCTCTCAGTGTTCACAGAGATGGGGGAGAAAATAACTTTGTTTTCTCTAGGAGTAGATGTTTTTCTATGATTAATTATTGTCTTGAATTTGGGAGGAGATTTGGCTCCTCTTTAATGGGGTGCAGAATTATCAATTTTTAAAATTATCTGTATAATCCTGGCTGGCACTGCTGATGTGCTCTGAGAACACATTAGATCTATGTCTAATTAGATGTATGGATGTGATATGGGGTCACATCAGTGTGTGGGGAAGGAGAAGGTGAGTGGGGTATGAGTTCTGCTGTGGCCTTGTTCACTGTTGGTTTTGCTTTAAATTGCAAGTCACCCTGGAGAGGTCTGGAGAGCAACTAATTTCAAATGCTATTAATAGCATATAAAATAAATCTGGCACCCCAGACAGAGAAAGGGAAGGAAAGAGGAAGCTGAAGGCAGAATACATTATCCTTCTCAACCAGTGATAGGACACAAGGAAATGAAGTGAACTTGCTTCAGGGGAAGTTCGGATGCGACATCAGGAAAAGGTTCTTCACTGAGGGGGTGGTCAGTCACTGCAACAGGCTCCCTGGGAAAGTTATCATGGTACCAAGCCTGCCCGAGCTCAAGAAGTGTCTGGACAACTCATTTAGTCAAATTATTTTGTTCTAGTTAGTCCTGCGAGGAGTAGGGAGTTGGGCTTTGTGACCCCTGTGTGTCCCTTCCAACTTCAGATACTCAATGATTCCATGCCAGCTAGAGTGCTGGGGAGCATATCCTTGGCAAAGACTGGACCCCAAACTCAGGTTATGCTTCCTCACTTAAATAAATAGAAGTTTAGACCTTTATGGCTTCAGTACCATGCTATAATTCTATAATTTGCTACTGTTGTGTGACTAACACTGGGTCTTATTTGGGTGCTAATAATCCTTCTCTACCCAGTGTTTGTTCTGACTGGAAGTCTCTTCTTGCTCCAGAAGTTACTTTCTGTTTTTCTACGGCTTCAGTGTTCATGAGGCATTGCTCTATTATTCACCAATTAGCTTTTTCTAGTTAATCCATGCTGCCCTGTGGCTGTTTATCTTCCTGCTCACGCCCTCAGCACCAGTCCAGGCTTCACCAAAGCTTTAGGCTCCCAAACTGTCATATCAATTACTGATACATGAATAGATATGAATTTTGTGCCTCCCCTGAGTTGTGATGGTAGTGGTAGGTTCTTTCTACCACCAGGTGAAGCCCAAAATCTTGCCTTCCCTTCTGGTTTAGGAAAAATTTGGAACAATTCAGAGGAAGAATGTTAACATACAGGGTGTGTTCTTCAGGTAGGTGAGGAGACAAGTACATGTGCTAGACTTTGAGGTGGTCAGTGAAGAAATCCAGCAGAAAAAAAGGATGTAGTGCTGCTTTTGAGGAGACTGGATGGGCAGTGGGAAGATTAGTATGTGCTGACCAAGGGGATTCCATGGCAGAAGAAATTTAAGGACCCCTGTCCTTGACTTGCCCTTCTCACAGCAGCTAATAACCAGAAATTGCTGTGATTACTGGTCAGAAAGATTTATCTAAGTCACAAGGCTTTGCATATTTGTTTTCACTTCCAATTTTCATTGTTGCAACATTTCTTACATGTTCTTCCATTTCTTTTTGCAGTGAGAATGTGATTATATTTTCCATATGCAATTGTTTGAATTGTCAATTTTACTAAAATGCAGCACCGCTTAAAATCAGAAATGGAAAAATACTATTGCTTCATAGTTAACTTTGATGTATATTAATGTTCTATCTTTTCCCAATAAAGCAGCCAAAGTTAACATTGTTCTTTTCAGCAGATATTTCTAGTAATTTCAATGACTTATTTTGCCTAGCATCTTTTCTTATAGCCAGATAATATAATATGAATTTACTTAGGCAGCACAATTTTGTAATACATTGTTGAAGGTTTTAGACAATTCTGCATATTTTTTCCTGTAAAAGGGAAAACACCTTGTTCTCATATAGTGTTTATGTCATGCATCAGCAAGCTACTACAAAGATTGAGATGCTGTACAACTTAATGTGTCCATTTGCTGTCATTTTAGTAGTTTTAAGGTGTTACATTTGGAACCAGGTTAGATGTATAAACTTCTTCCTAGACTGGGGTAATGAATAGACAGACCAAGTCACCTGGGAGGTACAAACTTATTCAGGAGTGGGTAATTAAAGAGCAAACTAACAAAATACCACCTTACTATTTCTCTAAACTCCAAAGCTGTAAACAATAATGAAAATTGTATTTTAAGTATATTCATCTATAACTTTCCCTTGAGATAATTTCCATTTTAAAGTTTTACTTCACAACAGACAAGAAGATTGCCTATAATAAAATAAGCCCTCTGCCTAAAATCTGAGGATATAGCTGGTACAGATCTCACGTGATCCTGTCATTCATTCCCTGCTCCTAGCCCATGATCAGCTTCACATGGATAACTAAGGATAACAGGAACTTGTGCATGCAGTATCTGTTTTCCTTATGGCCTTGCCTCATTCAACCAAATAAGTTTTTTTTTAAGTCATGCATCAAATATGATAAAATTTTCATGAGATGAAGCAAAAAAGTTTAAAATCTCTCTTTGCCTGCTGCTTGTGTGCCAGCTAAAGAGACATACTTGTTGACAGGCCGTATTCTGGCATGCTTTTTGGTGATTTTTTTTTTTTTAAATCAGCTTTAGTTATATTTAGGCATAGGGACTGATCAGGTATAGATAGTATCTGTGCTGGAAATTTTACAACAGAAACAGAGATAGCACATGTAACGTATTGCAGTGCACTTCACGTAGTGGAGGAATTTATAGAGAGGAAAAACAAGTAAGGAAATGGGAAATTGACGTAATTTAAAATCTGGAGGCACACAGATTTTAATTTTTCTTTTAAATGTCTATTAATTCCTTAAGAGTTCAAGGTTTGCATTCATCTTTTTTATAGTGGAAATTGTTACAATGAACTTCAGGATTTGTACATCAAAATTTTTAATTGTGATTCAAAAAGTTTAATGAATGATAAACACACATATTTACACATGAGGAAGAGACTATACAAGCATTTTAGGAATTCTGTTTCAAATGTGAAGTATGGTTATACTGAAGTCCAGTGGTGTCCCTTGTGCACAAATGGATAACTTGTATAACAACTTATGAATTCTTGTGTAGCTACTGAATTGTTCATGGCAACAAATGTTTCTAAGATAGAGGGGGAAAATAAGAAGCTGTTGTAAACTTCTCAATATCTGTCCTTGTCATGACAAAAAACATCTACACCATGGAAAACAGTCATATACCAATTTGAAAACAGGAATTGAAAATATTAAATTATTAAGACTTGAATGCTGAGGAATGTAAGCAGGAAGAGCAGATGTATTGGATGTGAAGCCAGTCATATTTGAGGATTGAAAACAATTAAGAAAATAGCCCAGAAATTGTCCAAAACCAATAGAGCAAAACTCTGACAGTGTGTATGAACAGAAAGAAACAAAACTGTGCAGTGTACCTTTTTAAAGCCTTTTCTTAGTAGGTTACTGCAATAAAATTTCAGGTTTTGAAATCAGGATTCATACCCGAGTGGAATGGACATCAGTTGGACAAAATCTTTCATTTTATATGAATGCTGTGTGTTTGGCATCTTCTTTACAGAAAAATGTCAACAGATTAAGACAGAAAATTATTCCTTAAATCACTGTGATTATTTTCTGTAAGTGGAGCGTCATCTGGAGAAAGCATGCTGTGTAGTGGCTATACAGTCTGTCCTGTGTAATTTTTAGATAAATTGCTGCAGCACTCTGTATCCTGGTCACAGACCTGCTATGGTCTATCACAGCAGCTATGCCTTACCCAAGTTAACAAAGTGAGACCAGGACATCACACTCCAGTGACAGTTCTTCCAGCTACTCATCCTTCTGTGCTACATCTTGGCCCACTGAGTAAGAATATGTCAAGTTCTTCTTCCTCTGTAATCTGTCTACTGGCCTTTCTTCCATGGGATTGCCATGGAGCAAAATATCATGCAATTGACTATGTATATGCATACAAATATTGTTTTCAAATTTCAGACCAGATTTTTTTTTTATGTCATTGTGAAGGTTATCTGTGTAAAGGAGAGTGAGAGAAATATTATTCACTTACATCACTTATCATTTTGGCAATAACGTGCATTTTTTTTACAGAAACCCTACTTGTGATCTTCTAGTATTATCCACAGCTTACAAATAAAATTAATTGCATTAATGACTTCCTATATTTTTTGTGTCTTAGTTAGATTGTATTCTGCCTAGAAATGTGAGAATTCCAACTGGGGTTTGATTTTTGTGTGGGCAAAGGCAGTCTTAATGTTTCATTCTGATGTTGGTTTTTTATACCAGGACAAAGCCAAATATATTCTGCAGTATTTTGCTTATGAAGGGGCACTAATTAGGTCTTTTTTCTTCACTGTTTTAGTGGAAACAGCAGATCTGTGAAGTCTATTCTTCTGTCTAAAAAATAGTTAAAGTTAGCCAAGAAGCTCAAAGTTCAGAGTGAGGAATCAATGGATTACCAGACTTTTGTGTCACCCAGAGGTGAGAAAAACAACCAAAACAAATCAAAATAAACAAAACCCCAAAAAAACCCCAAAAAAATCAAAGCAAAAAAAACCCAACACAACAATAACCCATCTTCATTAAATACATCTCGTTTCCTTAGAAAATCAAGCTAAAAATAAATTAATTCAATTATTCAAGTTCCTGTTAATCTCTAGAGACTTCTAAAATGTCATTTTTCTCAATGTGAAGTGTGTCATGCTCCACAGTTCTTTCAGTTCTATTTGGAGAGGACAATGAACCAGTGAAGAGATTGGTCTGACTTCTGGTTGCTGTTACTGGGGATCTGCTGGTGGTAAATATCTGCCATTGGGGGAGGGATGACTAAACAATACAGTCAATTCAAAGAGAGACTTCTTTCAGAAAATGTTATCCACACTACAGGTTCATGATCACAGTAGTAGTAAACAGCTGGCTGTAAAGCGTCTTGCTTATCACTTAGCGCCACTTTTTCTCTTGAGGGTATGATCTGATACAGGTAATGTTCTTAAATGCCATTTCTTTTGCATCATCCTCCAGTGAAAGCCCAGGTGGGAGTCATGTGGTAGAAAATGACAAGGGAAATTTTAGTCATTGCAATAGTGCCCAGTGTCAGAATATTAAACTAATACATCTTGAATATATTCCATGAGATAATGTTTCATTTTCAGTTCTCCATATTTCTGTTTTGTATTCACCATGGCAAAGGCAACTGGGTCAAAAAATACAGATTCTGCTATTCATGATCCTTGAGTAATGTGGTCCATAATTCTATGTTTTTCTTCTGCCTTAAATTCATTAAAATTATTTGTATTAATTGCCAACTTGAATTTCAGGTGACTGCAACCACTGAAAACCAGAACTGGCATTTCAATAACTTTGGGGCAGTATAAAGAATTACTGAAAGTGCTTGGTGGAAATGCAGAGATTTCTAGGGTCTCCATAAAGTAAGGGAGTTAGAGAAATTTTTAGGACAGTATCATATTATGCTCAAGAACACTGAGTGAAGATGTCCATTAGAGGCCAAGAATTTTTGACTTTTCTATTAGATTTAAAAGTAGTTAGTGCTGATGTTTCAAAATAATATCTAAAGGCTGGTCTATATGTGGCAATCAGTAATGAACCAATGATTACTGTAGTGAGATAAACACAGCAGTTGAAACATGGAGGAAATTGTGATTGATTTGAAACAAATAGGGAAGAAAAGCAACTGTTAAGTCTTACTTAAAGACTCTACAGGAGTAGACATGTTATTTTGGATAAGTAAATTACTGGCTAAAATTCTGTCACAGGGTTGATGGAGAAAACAGAAAATTTAGGTATTTGCAATTTACTGTCATATTAAACGTTTCTACACAGAAAATTTTCTGGCCCATTGGTTTCTATTATTTTTCAGAGGTACAAGTGTATATATTTTTGGGCACACCATGTTACAGTTGTATTTCTCCAAAGATAATTGACACTGAAAAAAAGCAATGGAAAATATGTAACTCATTAAAAATTAACTGTTCTGGAGCATGCAAAATCAGACACTGATACAGACATTTACAGAAGTGGATCTTGCTTTAGTTTCATATTTCTAAGCCACCTGCTGAAGACTACAAGTGCATTGAGAACTTTTTCAATTACAAATTTGGGCTGAGATCCTTATTGTTATTATATTCATACATAGAAAATGCTGCTATAACTAGTGAGATGTTTTCAGTTTTGTTTTGTTGGGGTTTTTTAATGAGGTGTTTTGTTTGCAAAATCATTTGAATTGATTTTTTTTTAATGCATTACTTCTACAGCCTCTTGAAGTGGGTAACTGTATACAACTTTTTCTTATACAGTATAAAAGGTAAATGAAAATAAGAGACATTAAGATGTAAGCTGAATTCAGGTAGCAAGTTTGTTTAAAAACAAAACAAAACCCAACTACTTCCATGTCTTTTCACCTTTTACCAAGGTTTTTTGCTCTTTCTGTTTCAACAAATATAGAAGCACCAAAAGTTTGGACATACAGTTTATATTTTTGAAAGGAATGCACTGGTTTGAGCTCTTGCATCTTTCAATGTCTTTTGCCTTTTGAAATGTTTCTGTCTGAGTTTAATTTTTAGACTTTCAAACAGCAAACTGAAGGGGCTGGAGCTAAGGACATGGATAATGGTCCCAGAGTATTTTACATTTCCTTTTGGAGGCATAACTCAGAAACAGAGCTTATCCTTTCTCCTTGTGGTGAGCATCTCCAAAGCCCTGTGAATGGTTTGAATCTGTAGCAGTTTTATTAGGTGATAGTGTGATGTGGCAAAGTTTTATACAGAGAAAATTCAGTGATGCAAACGTGTTTGGAGCCATTGCATTTTTATCTTTGCCTGCCCTCTGTGTCCCTGTAGGACTGAGAGTTTTTACTCTCAGACCAGCAGTAATTTTCAGCATCTCAGAGCTAAGGGATCCTTCTTCAAGCCCTTCAGAAAAAGTCTTTTTCTTCCCTCAGCTTTGATGTCTCTCTCATGGGTGTAGTCCCAGATCCTCTCTGTAGACCACTACTCTCCCTCTCTGCCACCGTCTGCTTTGAAAGTTTTCTTGGGTTCTCCAGAAATTTTTCCCACTGCTGCATGATCAGCTGGCTCCAGGTAAGGGGAGAAAATCCTGCTTCCTCCAAGGGCTTTCACCTCTTTCTAACAATTTACCTCCATGCTTTCAGCCTCTCATTTTTATCCAAACAACAAAGTAGCATAATGCTGGAAACAAACAAAAACTCTGGCTTGCTTGTTGTGGGAACAAAGAGTGAAGGCAAAGGATTGCCTCCTCCTATGTTGCACACAATATCCAGGCACTAGCCAGCTCTCAAGTAAGAGGTTTTCCTTTAAATTTTGAGCTGCAAAATAAAGAAAATAAGGAAGCCTGGTAGAACTGTAAAAAATGAAAATACTGATAGGTGATTGCTATGAGAAATCATTTTTCCTTTATGTCTTAATAAATTTCAAGTTAATTTTATATGTAAATAAGGAAAAAATATGCCAAGTTCTGGACAACTGACTCAATGTTCAAAATCACCTGTTGTTTCCTTTCTCAAACTTTATTAGAAATGTTTTTTATTTGCATAAGGATAAAACACAATCAAGATACTGGCAACTGATTGCTGCAAACTGTTGCCATCTCAAAAGACAAAAAATCACAACTTTGTATTTTGTTTGTAGTTTTTTTAGATTATGCAAATTAATTCAAATTATTTATTTTTGAAGATACAGACATTGCAGAGTTTTATGAACTGTAGACAGGAACTGGAAATTAACTGCATAGGTTGAGAAGTTATGTCTCCTATTCTAGCATGTTAGTGGCAGTCTAAATTAGTTTAGAAGTAAGATTGGGACTGTACCACTATGAAAACCTTGCATATGATGGGTTGTTCTTGGTTTTTCTGTTTTGTTTGTATATGTGTGCTAATTACTGTTTGAAGGTAATATCAGAGAAATTGAAAATATTTATATATGAAAGGTCAAGTTTGTCTAGGTTCCATTTTCAAAAGCAATTTACAAGAAGCATTCATGCAACTTTATGCATTTTAATGGTAGATATGCAGAAAGACATTAAAATTTTTCCATCTTGGTTGTTTGTCTTATATTTATCTCTGTTCTCCCAGTTTCTTCTTATAGCTTCTTATTACAGTTGACTGTTTTTGGAATGGATTGAGGAAGTCCTTTTATTTTTATGGATTACTTCCGTATCTCAGTTTTGTCTACTTTACATAATGATAAAAAAGTGGTTTAGAAATTCAGAGACATTAGTAAATCAAAGTAAGCAAATAATGCTGTATAAGAAATGGGGAAAATGTTAGAAATTTTAAATATCTGTTTTTACAGACAGAAAATGAGGGTGAAATTTGTGACATGATTTTCTTCTCCAGTGATGGAGAACTGTATGATGAATCCTTTCTTCTCAAGAGTCTGGTCTGGAGCTCTGAGGCTTGCATTATTAGTAAAACTGGAGTTAAAGAGATGCCAAGGAATCAGGAAACATGTCTACATCTAGATCACAAATGTTTCTAGGTCAAAACATGGACTGTATCTTCAGAAATGAAATGTCATGTATTAAGAGTCCTTTGCAATCCCTTAAAAGGCTGGAGGCCTTCAAAGGATTTGTATCCTTAGATACTTCCCACTTCCTTTTCATTTGCTATATACGGTGTTCTTCTGAACACCTCAAAGTACCTGATAAATAATGAATTAAGCCTTACAGAAAGTTCTATTTTATAGAGACAGTATTGCAGCCCATTTGCTAGGAAGCAAAGTGAAACAGAGGGAGAGAGCACTGGAGCTACTGCTTGAAGAGATAGAAAGAGAAAGGAAAAATTAGGAATTTGATGACCATTTGCCATGACTGTTTGCCATGACCACATGGCAACAACTGGTTTTCTTTAACTATCTTTCAACAATGGAATAAGAGAGTTACCTCCTCTCAATCCCCAAAAAAATCACTTAATAGCATTTGCTAGGTATACATTTACAACCCAACGCATGTTTTGGTCTGTAAATGTATGTGGAAAATAACATTTGAACATTCTTTTAAATTTTTAAATTCTCTGCTTCTCTGTCCTATTCATGTTGATCATTAGCTACTGAAACCTGTGTGTCTGTGTATCAGGTATGTGCTTAGGAGAGAACAAATATTTTATTTATTCCTTTTATCTTCCTAATCTTGATCTTCTGAAGAGAGAGCTGAAAATGTGGCATATGATTTGGGTGAAAACAGTCGATCTATTTTTTTTATAGATTAAATCCCAAAAGTTTTCTTTCTAATTTTTTATTAATATCTTATATTTGAATTTTAAAGAATTTTTAAATAACTGGACTATTTGTTTTCATTTTTTTTCCCTTAATACTGTGGGGTATCATTAACTGCTATTTAATTATGAAAATATTTTAAATGTTTATGAACAGTTCTGTGATTTCATTATGGATATAATAACTATTCATAGATGGCGACAATTTTTTGTTGTTCCTATGTTTGATGAAATAACCCCCCTTAGTGATGTTTTGCT